AATGGGGTAAGAGGATATTTGAAATGTAAATAAAATATCCAAGAAAAAAAGGAAAAAAAAGAAGGAAGATTTTTTTTCTTCTTTAGTCACTGTATCCTCCAGTAGAGAGCAAATCAGAAACATAAATTCAACAAGAATTTTAACACCACAAATTAAATGCTTATTAAGTCACTGGAAGGCAGGGTGAGAAGGCTCTAGATGGGACCACACTCTGTGGCACAGGCTATATAAGTAGCACAGGCTATATAACCCAGTTGGGCCTCAGGTTTATGATTCTCCTCCCTCAGCCTCCCAAGTACTGGTATTAGAGTCATGCCACCATACCCAGCTCAGAATCATTTTATTAATCTGAAAAACATTACCAAACCCCAAAGGTCTTTGTGTTTATTATACAATAATTTTCTCCCATTTCACCATCTCAAAGGACTACTGTAAAAGTGTCTTTTATTCTCCTGAAGTACTTGTCTCGGAGGTTTAGTGCCTTCATCTGCCACCCTAGGCCTAGTCCTGGAAACGTCTAACCTCTGTGTAATGTTTTCTAGGCCTAGAATGTTTTCAGTCTCTGAGACTTACACGGCTGAATAAGCTCACCCCTTTCTAGTTCTTTCTGAGTTTAGCTGTTCTGCCTTGAAACTCTCCATGATGACTAATTCAGTCTGGTTTCTCTCTTCTGGCCTCTCCTGAATTGCTCCTCTTGGCCTCAGATTAACTCTATCAATCTGTTCTGACCTTCTGGCTTCTTAGTCTCTGGCTTGTTCTATTTTTAACCAGTCTCTGTAAAACTCTCTTAGTAAAACTGTTTCTTTCCTACTCTGCAGTGCTCTCTCTTAAGTAGCTTCCCTTTCCTCTCGTCTATCAAGAGTTGGGCATATCCTATTCTGTCAAATCTTTCTCTGATTCATCACTTTGTGCCACTCAACTAGACACCACCTTGAAACACAACTGCTTCCTTCTAAACAATAACTTTACCTTTATTGTTTGGGATTAAATGTGTGTACCAAGGGCTGAGCCACACCACAACTAGAAACAGCCTTTTTCAGCAAATAACACTGTCTCAAGCTTCACAGTATGGTCAAATACCATGCAACAGACCAGAGAAGAAAGAACCTCTACAGAAGTCACAGTCCACACACAGAATTACAGAGGGGATTGCCAACAGTGTGCTTCTCACCCAAGCACTCTCATGCCTTGAATCTTCCTGCTTCTCCTTCCCCGGGGACAGCTCTTTCTGATATTGACTGTACTTGGCCAAGCTTTAGACACCTTGTTCATCAACTTCCAGGAGTACTCTCATTTGACCAAGGTGACTAGAGATGCTTGTGGTGTGATTTTTAAACAAATCAAGATATTATAAAGTGCCCACAAATTTGAACATAAATCTGCACCAACATAAGTTATTATTGTCCTTTACCTGTACCCCCTGAGCCAAGACTTAACTGTCAAAGACATTTCCAGAACAAAATAGAAACAGAAGACAGCCTCGTCTTCTACCACCTTTCATTCCTGTACAGTTTCCCATTGGCTAGCTGAAGTCAGATGACGAGGGAGTCTGGAAAATCTAGCTTCAATATATGATAGATTATAGAGGGTGTGGGTAGGTGGATGGGAGAGAACCAGGCTGATAGTCATCAGAGAACCCTTCTACTGACATCATATTCCCAAACCCTGTCAAAAACGAGGAGGTAAAAAGTACCAAGCACATATCTGGTTCAGAGAATCGCATCTTTTTCTGGGACTCCACAGCATGGTTTATAATACTGATGTAAGCTCACTCCCATCACCCCAGATAAATTCTGAAAACCATTATAGGTAATCCCTTGACACCGTCAGGAACATCCTGTTTTGTCTCTCCACCCACCCCAGACAGGGCAGGGTAGGTCTGGCCCCCACTGCACACAACCCAATTGCTCTGCTTTCTGTCCTTGAATCTTGAAACACACATCCTCACTTTTGTTCTTAGACCCTGCAGTGGATCCTTGCTTGAGGGGTTCCATGTTCTAGGCTGTAATGAACCCTCAGAATGATGCTTTAACAACCAAGTCACACATTTCTTCTTTTACAGAATGACACTTTATGGTGCAAAGGTTAATGTTTATATTGTTCTATTCTTTTGTCTTGAAGGCAATGTCTTTAGAATACCAAAACGTCATGTTTGCTCAAGTGGATGTGGATTCATCTAAGGTAAAACTCCTAAGTTCTCTGTGTGGACCATCAAACCCCAAACACATCACTGCAGAGCTCTGTGAATATGATGACATCACCCGGCTTTAAAAAACAAGTGGAATTCCATATCTTTGTTTTCATGATAAATGTAGCAAACTGTTTTTCGAATCTTTCTTTAAATATTAGCAACGCTATAGTATCCCCTCCTGCTGTAGCAGACGTCACTAGTCAGTCCAATAGTCTTACATCCATGCAGACATTGCAATGAAGCCATGGTGAAAACTAGTTTTAGGTTTTGTCAAGTTATTAATCACTTCCTAAAACCTAGCTCAATGATTACAGACATTTTGACACTTTGGTATCCCGTGTTTGTTTTGTTTTGTCTTTGAAGGTATGTTAGGGAAATTCGGTGAAGTATCAGGTGCCCCTAGGCTTTGAGACACAGCTTTTAAGAAGTCACCAAGTAGCACTCTTGGTTCAGAGGAAAGTCGTCAAAACTCTGACTTCACACCACTTCTTTTCTTTCCCAGGAATTGACTGAATATTATCAAATCAAAGCAGTACCCACATTCCAGATGTTCAAGTACACCCAAAAGGTATGTTTCCATGGAAACCATCAAGGGGGCTAAAATAAAAACCTATCCAAGGGCACACACACACAGACGTGTGTGTGTGTGTGTGTGTGTGTGTGTGTGTGTGTGTATATATATATATATATATATATATATATATATATATATATATATAATTTTTAGTTTTAAACAAGACTTATTTTAAATCTCCCCCCTTCTGAGGCATCCAAATCATAAAAATTCCACTATTGCCTCTACTCTGGGGGCAGAGCCTGTCATAAAGGGCATGACAGAATCTCACATACAAGGATATGTTCATTAACAGGATGTGGGGGGAAAGTCACCAAAAATTATACAAAGCAATACAGTCTCATAACATTGTGCACAGCCTGGATTCAATTCCCATGGTCCAAACACTGGTTCTACGGGAACCTCAGTGGCTTGCTTTGTCTCTGTAGATCTTTGTTTCCCTATGTGTAAGATAGAAACTATTATAAATTTTTCCTCACAGGATCGTTATGAATATTAAATATGTCATTGTGACTAAAGTATGAGATCCATCCTGGCATTCATGGTTTAATATGTTTTACTAGCTGTTCTTTTGAAGATACCAATGGGAAAAAATGGCTAAAATACTCAGCACATGATGAAGCTAGTATTTTCAGAATGACTGGGGGCATCGACAGTTATTCACATGTGCTTCATGAAATAGCATTTTGCAACAAAGTTAGGAGGCACAAAATATGCACCAAAATCCCATCTCTGGGAACATATGTGGTAGAAACACTTCAAGGAAAAAACAGTATCTGGATATATAATAATTATAACATTATTTCTAACATTGACCATAGAGGCAATTTTGATGCCTTTTCAGAAAAATGTCTCAATGCATTATGTGTTGCCTATTCTATCGAATAGAGTACAGCTAAAATACTATGAACCATACTTAAAAGTTTAAAAATCATGCTTAGGTTTTATAAAGATCATGTCAAACTGGAAGAAATGAAGGCATCTACTTGACCTACCAGCCGTAGAGTTTAATTTTTGTTTCTATCTGTTGGTAGGTATTTGCTGTAATATAATTTGTGCAATAAATGTAAGATATCTTTTTAGTCACTACCTATTCCTTCCCATGGCTTTTAGTTGAAGACGAAACTATTTAACTTGTGTCTCCTCAACTTGCCCCACCTACATGTGTAAATATCTGTCTATGTCATCTTTGCTACCATCTCAAAGAAAAGAACATGGTCTTACAAAACCAGTCCCATCCATACACCTTGACTATATACACCGCCTCCATTAGACACCTTCCTTCCTCAGGCTCGGTGGGTCCCGCCCAGCATCCATGCTCCACTGTCTATCGGGAGCCCTATTTTTATCTTTAGTCTCTGGGTTTTAACCAAGCGACTCTGCCACTCTCAGATATGGACCTTTCAGTTTAATCAAGCCTATCAACCCAGAACCAATGCCAAAATTTGGTTTAAGGACCCAAGTCAAAGTATTTTCTCTTCATGCTGTTAGTTCTAAACTTAAGAAATACAAGACAGCGTCTACTATTGTAGTTTATCACCACATGGAACCTGAAAATGAAACCACCATGCAGATGAAAGCAGAATCCCACCAAGAATGCTAGTGTCTTTAAACTCTGAGTTTCTGGAGATGTAGGTTCAGAGAACTCACTGCTCCTGCACAGGATGTGGATTTAGTTCTCAGTACACATGATGGTTTATACACATGTGCAACTCCAGTTCTAGGGAGTCTAATACCCTCTTCTGGCCTTCCTGGACACTAAGCATGCACATGGCACACACACATGTATTCATGCAAACACTCATGGACATACTAAATAAATATATAAACTCTGAATGTATCCACTGCTTAAGCCTCAGTGATTCCCATAGAGCCTTCATTGTAATAAAATAGAGGTGTTTTTGTACTAACTTCAACCCCCCCCAAAAAAAAACCCTAAAATTTGAGACAAAGCAAGAGAAAGGGACTCTATAATTCCCTTCTAGAATAGGCCTCCAGTGACCTGAAGACCTCCTACTAGACCACACCACCTAATGGCTTCACCATCTCCCAACAGTGACCTGGAGAACAAGAGTTGCCATATGCACTTCTAGTGGACACGAGACATGTAAGGAAATCACTAAAAGACTCAGATTTAAATTGGCTGATAGGTAACTATCAGAAAATAAAATTAACTGAAATTATATTACCAGTAGCTACTGTAGCTCCCTAACTTCTAATTCCAGGGCCATGTGATAAGCCTGATTATAATATACATAGACCCATCCCAAGAAGTTTCCCTAAGAATTGATATTTTCATTGAATATTACTAGCATGGCATTCTGATTATGGAGTTTTAAAACTAAACAGTTGGGATGAAGAAATGACTCAGCTGTTAAGAGTTCAGTTCCTAGTACTCACGTTCTGTGGCTCACAACCACCTGAACCCCCATCTCCAAGGAATCCAATGATGCCTTCTGGCCTCTGAAGACATGAAAATACACACAGACAACAAAAAATAAAGTCTCTTTTGAAACCTAAACAATTTGAAATGATCTCTACCACAATGTGTGAATGCATCTATTTCTAATCTTTTAGTATACATAATCATATAAAAACAGTCAAGAATGGCAACAAAAACAAAATGAAAAAAAAATTTTCTGCGCCGAAGGCAAGAGCCAAGAAAAGGATGCAGAGACCCTAAAGTGAATAACACTCGAAATCTTTCACCTCTTTTGACTCAAATCTCAAAATGGGATCTGAGGAGATCTTTAGGGTTCTATGGGGTCCCACTTTTCCCTTTACATCTAGAGTTAAACCAGGACCCTTCTGAACTTTTCTCCCCCAGTTTCTGTCTCACAGTGGTCTGTAGAGTCACTGCAAAGGAGGGGGATGCCAGGCAAAAAAATGCATTCATTTAAATTTTTCTGTGAGGAGAATCAAGCAGGAAGGCTTTCATTGGCATCAACTGTCTTCTTGAGAGTAGAGAAAAATTAAATTCATGTCCTTAAAACCACATCCAGAATCTGGAACATGTAACTGGAAAATGACTTACTGAAGAAATTAAGTACCATTTATCCATTTTTTTTTTTAAAGTTAGAGTACAGTTTCTACGAAGGATTGTTTTGAGAAGTGTCTTTATGTTTCCAGTAAGAAAATAGCCACTGTGCACTGTGCCTTTTGAAGGTTCTTAGTATATTAAAAAAAAGTCATATAAACTACCTTAATACACAGATTTGCCTCCTTTAAGGACACAATGTGTGTCCTTGCATCAGATAGAAAGAGCTAGGAGTCTCCTTTTGTTCTATAGTTGCCAAAAATCTCAGACTTATTCTGCTGCTCAAATTCTGTGAACCCTGCCTTACCACTGTGTCTCCAACATTTCCGAATAGACATACATGCATACATACATACATACATACATACATACACTCATATATGCAGATGATAGATACAAAGGGACCCCACGCCTCTAAGATTGAACAATGGCTCCATTATACTAATAATTTGAGTCTAATGGTAAGCAGATGTCTACAGAGTATAGGAAAGGAGACAAAACAAAGAATTAGCAAGTCTAGGCCAACTGCTTGTCTGAGCCAACTAGCAAAAGTTAATTGCAGTTTCCATCTCTTGCCTTAGAATGGTTTCCCAAAGCACTAAGTAGGCCCACTAGTAAGAACAATGGGAAATAGGCATGTATATGCTAATAAACAAATCTTTCATGCATGATTAATTCATAACAGAAGAAACCATTTGCTGGACTCTCACATTAAGTATGAGGAAGCTTTTGCCCAGATGTCTGCAAACTCTAGGGCTCCTGTTGACATCATGGAAGTCATTTCCAATAAGCACCGGCCATAAAATAAATCAGATATAGAGACAAAAAAGCATCCTATTCATTTGCTAGAAAGAGGACAGGACTGGAACAGGGTTTACTTACAGTGGCCAGGAAGAGATGAAGATGCCCAATGCTTCAAAGGGAGCAAGATAAGGAAGGGCATGTGTCTGAAGAATCCTTCCCAAATACTTGTGTTCAAAAACAAGTAATGTTTGGCCTTCTCTTCAGACAGTACCAGCAACAGTCTCACTGTCCAGGAATTAGGCGACTGTTGTTTGATCCTTAGTATTACTGAGAGATTAGGAATGTAATAAGCCATCCTAAGGTTCAATTTTATTGTTATTTTATATGCTTTAGCGTTTTCCCTGCTTGTATGCCTGCATAAGGGTGTTGGGTCCCTTGGAACTGGAGTTACAGACGGTTGTGAGCTTCCACGTGAGTGCTGGGAATTGAACCTAGGTCTTCTGGGAATTGATCCTGGGTCTTCTGGAAGAGCAGCCAATGCTCTTACCTGCTGAACCATCTCTCCAGCACCCTCATTTTCCTTCTTTGTGAGATGAACACTACCACACTTGTCTTTGAAATTTTGTCTTGAAAGTTTTTAATAAATGTGCAGAAAATGCACTGGACTTGATGCATACCTTGTAATATAATTATTATAGTTGACTTGAAGGTTATGGGTTACTGCTGAGATATTTAACAATATATCTGTGACTTTCTCCCTACAACATTATAAATAAATAGAATTTTAAAAATAAAGTATATGAGAGGCCATTTAAACTCTTGGAATATCTATAACTTCTGCTTACACTAAGTTACCATCACTTGCTTACAAGTGATTCCATCCTGCTACCGACAGCCGCAGACAAAGAGGAGTTCTGACTAGTGGGGCTGAAAGTCTCATATGGTCTTTAGGTTCTTTAGTTGTTGGTCAGCCCCAAGCGTGGCCAATACTCTTTTCAGAGAATTGTAGAGTCTAAAAACTAAGCTAGATGGAAGGAAAGTTAGAGAGACTCAGCTTTCAGGTCTGTTAAGCAATTCCTAGTACCACTGCTAAGGATACTACAGTTGTCTTAGCAACTGAGAGGCTGCTACGTTTCTCTTCTCCAAATCAAGGATTAGGCAGATACAAATCACCCTCTGGTGTTGCAAACCACGCTTTTATTTAATGTTCAAC